GTGTGACTGAAGATTCAACTTTTACCCCATAAAACCCCATTCCCATAGTCCGATCAAACTGGTTTGCTAAAACTCATTATGTACGTTTACATGTTTGTAGCAAACTAAATAAAATCGGTTTACTTTTGCTTTAGTTACAATATTACTTGAAACCTTTATAACTTTGCTATCACTTGAATCCAACATTTTTATTTGGTTTTTCGGACACAATTTTGTGTATTGTCTTGTGTTTAGGATTATTTCATTTGTTAAGTACCGTAAGTAAAATGAGCATAAGTAACTCTTACTTAAATATCTTAAAATTCGGTATCATTCCTTTTTTAGCCTACTTAAAACTGGGATAACATCGCTTTTTATACTACCTTTTTTTATAACATGGGGTCAAACAAATTTCCTATGGCAATGAGCCAATGATTTATAAGATCTGCTGCCTTTTGTTTATAACTTACGGTACTTTAAACAAACTCTTTTGAAAAATTTTAAATTTTATGTTTGCTGCATGGATATTTAGCCTAGGAGTTATGTGTTTTTTTTTGTAGCATACCAACTATAGGTCGGCCGCTTAGAAAACGACCTCCTCCAGCATTGGTTTAGCATTAGCGCGCAGGTCGTTTTCTAAGCGGCCGAACTATAAACACAGTCCCCTGCACTCTGTCTGGATCTGGCAAAGGGTCCATCAACATTAAGAGGGTCTTTGCCATTACAAAGCCCAATGAACATGAATATGTGTGGGCACTTTTAATTTAAATGCACCCGGTTTCGTCTGGTTTAGTCATCTAACAATCCCGATCGTTACAGCCTAAGTTACTTGCTCTAGGCCTACTCCTTTTCCCCAATATTATTTTTACTCTACTCTGTTATAGAAAGAGCTTTAACATTTTCCCAGACCCCAAAAAAATCAAATAAAATACAAATTTCACTGTGTCCTTAAAAGATTACAACCGGCAACAAAACCGACTAATATTCTCTATTTACACAGAAAATTCATCAAACTTGTCGTTTCAGTTCTCAATTCTATTAGTCATGAGTCCAGATGATTACATAAATGGCTGACCCTCGTAATACTATTTTTCGTAGTGATTAAAGTCAAAATTTACGATGCTACCTTACCTACCCTTCTTGCGTTTCGCTATTTTAGTTAAAATATTTTTTTATATTGACAAAACTTGGTCGAACTGGTTAGATGATACCATTGTCTTTAAATACCTCTTTTATTTGTTGGCACTTGTTTAAATAATAGGGATCATTTATAAATTAGCCCTTGACATACCGGTAACTTAGTGTATTGTCTGGGTAGTGTATTGTCAACATTTGACATAGCACACTGTCGTTGGCTCCGTTCATCCACAGTAGGCCTACGTTTATTTTTTATTTAAAAACTAACGACATCTTTAACGTTGGGAAGTGTCTAGTACCAATAGTACCAATAGTGTTGTGTAGTAGTATCAATAGTCAAAGATGATACTAACCAGCTTGTGGCATGTTTCAGGTGTGGCGGACGGTGTTGGTGGTTGGAGGAGATACAGCATCGACCCTGGAGAGTTCTCTAGTCCCCTGATGAGGACGTGTGATCGCCTTGCGTCCACGGGGCGTTTCAGCATCACAGCACCTGCTTGTCTACTCTTGTGTATCCTACTACGAGCTGTTAGAGAACAAGCTGCCCATATTGGGTGAGTGGATATTTGATCTTATTGGGTCATATGTTTTAAAATTAGTAAGTAGACGGTATGCTTATGCCGTATGGTTATGCCGTTATGCTATACCGTTCATTTAGAGTGGTATAGCATTGTTGGAGATGTACACGAATACATTGTACAAACGGATCATGTTTAAGTCATATTCTAGTGTGAACTCCATTTTTAGTGTCAAAGGGTCTTTGCAGCATTCAGTCCCTTAGTTTGATCTTATAGATGGTTGCTAATAGTGAATTTTGAGGTATAAATTTTTTTTATGTATTTTACCGTGTGAGTAAAAACACCAGGACTTAGACATCATATACAATTAGCCTACACCTGGGTCTAAGTGTTAGCCAAACACACAAAGAAACTTTAAAACTCAAACCTTATGAATTTGAACAAAGAAATGTGTGGCCAATGGCCATGCAATGTTTGTTTTAATTGTGATTATTTACAAAACTGAGAATTTGCCTTTGCACCTGTTATGTTTGATTTGCAGCTCTTGATATTTTAATATTGTCTTTTATTTAGCAGTAGGGTTAGATGTTCATTGAAGTTAGGTACGGTACCTAATAAAAGTTCGAGATCGAATATGATGCTGAATATGATGTAGAGATTTGTGAGAAAATATTCAATATTTTGTACACTTGTTGTAGAGTACAGTGTACACCGGTATTTGAGAATTTTCCAGGGTGATCTAGGGAATGTGGTGCGTAGAATGTTCTAGAATGATTAATAACTTTCAAAATGAATATGAATAGTCTTGATGGTAGTTGGTCTATAATGTTCTACAGTAGAGAAGGAATCTAATAGCTTTGTTTTTGGATAAGATCAGCTTGTATTATTGTAACACTACTGCTGTTTTTTGATAAGATCAGCTTGTATTATTGTAACACTACTGCAATATATTTCTGTAATGACGTTTTAACATGTAAATTTTATCGGCAAGTCAACCCTCACAATTCTAGGCAGCAATTAGCAGTACAGTAGGCCTCTGGCAATTGCTGGAGCTTATATTTTTACAATGTCTACTTGTTGGTTGCCTCGAATAGGAGAGACCATTACAATACTGCTACAATTTTTTAAAATACATTATATGTTTCCTGACAACATTTAAATGCCTTTGTTTGGCTAAAGTAAAGACGCAATATTGTAATACATTGTTAAGGTTTCAGATATCCGTTATTAATTAACCCTAGGAGCGCCCTGGCCTGATTAATGCAAAATTGCTCGGCGCCCTGGCAGTTTTGGCCATTTTGCAGAGGTTTTTTTAAAAATTTGCAGTGCCTAAAGTATTGTTGATAACCTAGTCATATTTATACTTGTTTTGTTCAGAAAAGAAAGGAGATTTAGAATAAAATAAAATTTCAGCAATCTCTGTTGGTGGTTTTTTTGCTAAATGTGAAAAAATAAAAAATCTTTCAATTTTTCGGAATAATTTTCAAAAGCAGAGGCTTAGCGTTTTTACACCAAATTTTTACAGACATTCTAAGATATATGAAATGTAGGAAATTTATTTCCCTACATGGAAATGTGATTGATTTGTTTCAAATAATTTTTTTACCAGAATTACGGGGGGAAATACGGAAAATGGGGAAAATCAACGAATTTGCGCCGAACATTTGATACATAAAAATATAACCAGATGTATACAATTTATATACAAAAGTTGTTATATTACTAAAGGTAACAATACATGTATTCAGAATAATGTCATATTGTACAAAGTTATAACTTTTTTATAACTTTATATGACTTGAAAAACAAAATTTTAGTTTTTCCGAAAACAAAAATTTGTTATTCAAACTTAGATCTAATTTTTGTACTTTACTATAATATGATAAACTAGGTGAAACCCGTCGAACTCGACGGTTATTTTCAAGGATTACGCTAATTCATCTAACTGCGATAAATTGAGTGAAATTGTACATATTTTGAGCATTTAGCATTGTTTAAAGATTAATAAGTGTAAAAACAATAATGATAGTTACCAAATATGGTTGATCATTCAATGAATAAAATATCTCCCATACTGTACGTCATCGGAGTTATTAGTATATTATCTGGTATCTCATCGTTTAGATTAAACTTTAAATAGTATTAAAATCGTATTGGTGGATCTTTTGTAGTTAAACACTTCCGTGATTTCATCAGTGTAATGCAGATTAATCTATGATTTTATTTGAAAAAAATATCTGTTTGTTGGGAAGACACGTTCTAACTTCAAAGGGAGATATCCATTACAGTGTAAGTTTGATTTTTCCTTCGTCACGTTGTGTCAGTTCATATCGTACTTCAATAACACAAATTTTGACATAAATAATAATACTCACCAGGCGTAATATGGATAAATACTACTACTAACTCATACACCACTTGTCAATACACTTCTTTTACACTAAAACACTAACCTCTGATGAAAATTAGCACAGATAATAACGTAACAGCACTGAAAACCTAATTTAGATTCCGGCGAGCAGAACGCAAACAACTTGTTTTTCTAGTTACAACTAATGTGTCACCTGAATCTCAATTCTGAAAGGCACCAAAACATAGAGATAGAACGTTTTCTTAGCTTTAAATAGGTATTACTCTCATCACTCTATGTCAATTATCAACATATTTATTCGTGATTTAGAAACCACGGCGTTTTGGGCAAAATAGCCTACTGACAAAACAGCTGATTTCAAAAAAATATTTCAGACTTCCTAACCTCATATGACAAAGTTCTCTATACGAAAATAAAGAACAACTCAAGTTCTTTCCAATGGAACCAGCCACTTCCTGTTTAGGCCAAAATTACGACTTGTACATTTATTTCAAGATAACGTGTTTTACGAGATTTTGCCGACCGGTACTCGAAAATTTTACGCGTGCAAAATATTGTTCAAATTATAATAGGATTTATATTGATCTGTTGGTGCTACGAGGTTCGATTATATATGAAAATAAAAGTTCAGAATCTCTTCTTTCCAACGGTATTAAAATTATTACACTTCTGGATCATTTTCATTGCGTGATAAGCGTTTGAAAAAAAATTGTCCCAATAGCCTACTAGTCGGCGATTGGGCGCCGAGCGCACACATCAATTCGCCGACTTAGTTGGCGAAAGGCGCTCCTAGGGTTAATGTACCTAGGTAAATCATGTACCTATACAAATACCAAAACTATTTTATTTGTTTACTGTAGGGGTGTGCGATGCATCGAAAATGCATCGAAAATGCGATTCGATTCAGAATTTTATTTTATGGCACTACTCTTCTATGCACATACAAAAGGAATTAGATTTTGATTTGATTTGTTTTTAAGGTTGCGAAAATCCACTACCCAAGTGTCAAGCTTTTGTAGTGCGGCTACCGTGGCCGGAGGGCTCTGCAATCGTCTCAGTATGGCCACTGCCCGGTTCTTGGAGCAACGTGGTGACGATCCTAGGTGTATGTTGGTTGGAAATGCTTGGATTGTTACTCACGTAATAGGGAACTGACTGATTTCAATACAGCATTGCCTATGTATTTTTTTACGTTTGTTCTGTTGAATCTGGCTGTGTAGTTTAAAGCTTTCCTTTTTACTTTCTCCCCCTATAGATGGTATACCTATGGAATAAGTATTGTTTTCATAACAATTTTTGAGTTTGAAGTTCTTGTGGAATTATCCGTTTTGGGTCCCCTTGAACCTAAAAATGAGGTTTTCCAATAATGTCTGTGTGTACCTATGTGGATGTGTACAGAGTTTATATTATGTATATATATATTGATATTGAATATATAAATAATCGAAAACATTATAAAAACATTAACTAGTGCCCTTTTAAATTCAGTGTAATTAACAAATCACATGTTCAACACTTAAGGGCAGTCTGACTTGAAAAATTTTATTTTTTTTGCATTTTAATTTTTTTATGTATTATTAATCTTCATTTTTTCCCTTTAAAATGATATATAACACATGCCACCTATCTAATATTAACTTCGTATAAATAAATTATGAAAAAAAGCTTGCAATGGCTTTTTGGCCCTTAGGGCAGCAGTAAATGAAACATGCAATCTTATCGCTTTTCCTCGATTTTCCGAAACTTGCATTTTTTGAACTTTGAGTACCCATAACTCAAAAACTACTTGGCCTACCTCAGTCAAACTTTAACACAATATTTTACATACTATTTTCTAGTTCCTCACGTGGGTATTTATACATATCTTTAAGTTATGAGGCAAAATAAAAAAAATTAACTTAAAAACCATAGTTAAAAAACAGTTTTTTTTAAAACGTCGTAACTTTTTTAATTTTTTCTAAAATTTAAAAATGCCATGCAGGGAACTAGTTTATAATCTATTAAATAACCCACACAAAAATCAGGACTCTATCTATTACCGTTTCTGAGATATAGGTACTTAAGTTAACATTACGCTCTTATGGGGGTCGGACTGCCCTTAAGTCATAGTCATGTTTACATTTTATACTTTTTTTTGTATTCAAGTAATCAAATAAAAAAAGATTGTATTTGTATAAAATATAAACATGACTATGACCTAAGTGTTGAAACGTGTCATTTGTTAACTAAACTGAATTTATAAGGGTACTAATGTTTTTATAATGTTTTCGATTATTTATGTAGTAGTAGCCCTGATAACAATCATACTTATTATATTGAATATAATATTTATAAATATAAATATATTTATTTATTTACATAGACATTGTTTATTAAAATGAAAAAGGAAAGAATAGACTGTAAATAAAGACACTGGTATACTAAGTGGTATACCACAATAAAGTCTGTGTGACAGGCTTTGTTTTTTAGGTTATTAGTGCATGCACGTGCTGTCAGTGGCAACACTGGTTGCCCATGGCTAATAGGCTCCTTAGTCCGTATACTGCAATGCCCCCCGACTGCCTGGACACTAAAACGATGGAGACATCGGTTGCCGAGCAAAATCACTCCCGGCAACTTCACGGACCACTTTTTCGGTGATAACCCCATGGCTAATAGGCACCATTTGAGTCCATGCCCCTCGACACATTGGCCACCGGTTGCTCACGGCTAATAGCGGCCTAACTCCCACCACTTACTGGTGAAGGTTGCTGACAAGATAATGGGAGAATGTGCCAGATTTCTGATTTTATTTAGAATGTCCCTGTGCTCCAATCACTTTTGTTTTAAACATTGTCTGGGCATTCAACAATTTTTCAGTAGCTCTAAAGTCCTAAATACACAAATCAATAGGTATAAAATTATATTAGAGTGTTATCACAGCCTTGTTAAAAAAATCATCTAGTTTTGTACATTTACTTTTCCTATTCTGTACAGTTTTTCCTTACTTACGAGCAGAAGCTATGCAACCAAACTTTATAAAATACAACACTGACATTTTTGGAACACATATTAGATTGCCTACCGCTGACGTAAGTATGAGCGGTGGTGAAAGTAGCCTGATAGAAAATAGTCTGATAATTGCAAGTTCAAGAAAACTTTTATGGTTGTGTCATTGAATTTATAAGGTGTGTTATCATTGACTGGGACGGTGGCGTCGTCCTGTAATCCCCTACTAGGAGGTCACGAATTTGTGGATATTTATAAAGATGCACTGTGGATGCGACCCTGGTGTGGAATAACATCCGCACTAGTGAGTACTACGACTATCCGCAGTACTATCCTGATAATTAGACCAATTTGTTAATACCAAGGCAAGAATGTGGTTTGGATTCCTGTATAAACTGTATTAATGAACAGCTGTGTCTAAGGAATATTTCGTCCTTAGTCACTAACAAGACTACAAGATTGCGCCACTCATCCTTCACTTATATTTGGGTTAAAATATGCACATAGGGGCGTCCCCATCTTAAATAATTGATCGATTGATTAGTCATACTAAATATATATATATATATATATATTTATTTATTATTATTATTGTGAATCTAGTATGTGTCAGCCCAAGATGTTTGGACATAACAAGACATTCAATTTGCCCAGGTCAGTGAGCTGTGTTAGGCTACAGGTAGAGCGAGATCCAGTCAAGATACAGGAAAAAGGTGGCTAACTCCATCGAGTGGATGGCTCGCAACTTAGCGTTGGACGACGACAAGTTTCTCTCACCATTCGCCTAGTTCGCAATGGCCAATGGAATATATGCCACAGGTATGTTTGCCACTTAATAACTTAGTTACTAGGCTTGCTGTACCAGCTAATGTGTGACTGTCGTATAGCAAAATCACAGCAACATGGTTATCATAATTTATCATTGAACTGAAATAATGGATACATTACATATAACCATAGATAAAACATACTACTCCCTTAGTAGATTTATCATCCTTATGGAACAGCTGAAGACAATTTTATTGTTAGTTCTGTACAGTTTATGTAGAGGCCGTGTTTTGTTTACAATTTGTTTCCCGTTATTACAGCCATTTAAAACCTCGTTTAACCAAATAATACGATCTAATCATAAACAATAACTTGTCCCCTAGTTATATAACCAAACAGTAAAGCACAAATCAAGAAATTAACCCTAAAATAATGGAAACAAAGTTTCGTCGACACTAGCGCCTTTGTGTCACGTACATGAACTAGACACGAAAAACGTGCTTCAAAATTTACAATGGGATGAGAAGTCTACTTGTGTTGGTTAGTCTATGATATAACATATCAAACAAGTACTGTAGACATTAAATACACAATCAAATAAAACAATGAAATTGAACTTAAGCAAGTTCTAATAATAGCAGTGTAAATATATTTTTTAAAATTCTAATAATTTGCTTCTTAATCTAGATAAGACAAATTTTATCAGATTTGAAACTCGAGAATCAGGGGATCAAAATAAACAAATCATGAAACTCAAAAACACAGAAAACAAGTAAGAATTTAGTCTTGGGATTGGAATTGATAAAACTCTAAAATGGAACTGACGTTGAAAAGTTACTTGTCAAAATCACGTCAGGATTATGCTTTTATGCTTTATCTAGATGGAAACCTTTATGTGAAACTCTAAAAGTTATTTATTTTTCATATATCCACTCAAGTATATCTTTTAGGATTTCACCTTATGGTGCAACTAGTGATTACAATTTGAATTCTATTCTAAAAAAATAAAAGAAAGCTATTAGAATTTTCTGCAATTTAGATTCTGGAACTTCTGTTAAAAAAGAGCATTTTATATCAGAAAATATAATCCCAATTTGTGGTATGTTTTTGAAAAAAATTTATCAGTAAAGAACAGATTTCATGATTTGGAACTAGTTGGGAATAGTCATAATTGAGTCAAAGAGTTTAGTGATACCAACCTCATTTCTCTAACAAACCGGGTCATTTTTGTATAAGAATTCAAAATTCCTCCATTCATTTGGGAAACCTTTATATACCCCTCCCGATAAAAGGTTGAATACAATAGGATTGAATACAATGAATAGGGTTGAATACAATAAGGTTGGTTGGGTTGAATAGGGTTGAGCAATACAACTGTTTTTGAGGTCTCAGGCAAAAGTGCCACACCGACCAAGAAGTCCTTTCTAGTTTCTTGTTATGGTAATACTAAGTTAAGTTTCCTCGGCACAACCAAATAAAAAGTTAAGAGGATATTGGAAAATATTTTGAAGTAGAGTCTTTTAAGGCTAATGAAAATAAAAATGGCTTTCATAATAGGATGAGATAGAGAGTTTTTTGCAGATATTGGTTGTATCTGATTGCATTTAAAATGGGGTGAGATGGGGCTTCGCTTAACACTTACCATTTATGAGATATTTCAAAATACCCCATTTTGGGGTTCCGTACATAATTGGGATACCAAGAAAAAAGTATATTATACAGTAGGTTTGGTTCCATAAAGCTGGAAAATTAAATCTATATATATAATACGTGAAGCTGTTTTTTGTTAACGCAACTCCTCCCTTATTTATGGACCGATTTAATTGTTTAAGGTGTCAAAAGATTCGTCTTAATATGTAGTTTTGCAATAAGGTTAGATTTTTAAAATTCTTACTCTTAAGGGCGTGAGACCCTCTCAAAGGTCGGGTTTTCTCCATAAGAAATACACAGAACAAATTTAAAAACAAAAAACAGCTGTTTATAAAAAGAAACTCATTAGCTTTTTGGGAGTAAATATTAATGTTTGTAATATTGAGTAGGTTAAGACCAAGTTAAACAGTTAATCAGTTTTGTTGTAAGAACAGAAAATGCCTCAAGTTCAAAGAAGAAATATCACCCCGTTTTCAGGGAGGAGGAAACAATTAATAATAAGATATCTTATGCGTATGAGGAGAGTAGAAAAAGAGAGGTCTGGTCTAACAGATACCCATCCAGATACACATTCACTTGGTGAGATGAATAATATTTGCCAGTTCTGCTATGCAACTTACTTTGGAAATGAAAAAATATACGGAGCAAATAGTGTTCTCACAATGGTAAAGTAAACTTGCCTAATGTCAGATCAAATGAATGCATGTGAGAAATGTTTACTAGATTTAATAGTACAAACTATATTAATGCCTTGACTATGATAAGTTCAAGTAGTAAGATTATACCAATTCTTTTTGGCGGACCTTGTGTTTTTATTGTAAACTTTTGTATTACTCGCTCTACTTCAATTGAAAAAAAAAAACGCAAATGGATTGTTTACTTCTAGGTTATGTTGCCAGTTCCTCAGACAAACTTATACAAAGTTTTTTGACTGAATTCACCAACACAATCCAGACATTTCAAGTCAAAAATAAGAAGTTTCAAAAACTCATTTGCTCAAAGTTTTAGCGGCAATATTAGAACAAGCATGAGTGAAGGAATTAGTGTTTATGTATTCAAATGATCGAGTTGTTACGGTCAAGTTTATTTTTATGATTCAGGAGAGGAAAATAATATATGCTGTTCAAAAAGAGAAAATGGAAATTGTTATCAAAATATTATAGCTACAAGAATTAGTTATCCAACCTATTTCGACAAATGAATCCATAATTTCAAAACTTTGGGACAGGTATTAAGAAAAACTCCACTGAACAATGTTAGAACGTTCTGATGTGGGGCATATACTGTGACTGACAGACATCACGATAAAATACCAACTTTCAATAGTGTTGCTGCTTTAACCTATTCAAAGCAGATTATGGCGGTCCAGTTGGTAACCCAGAGTTTGTAAGTAAAAAATGGAGCACATGGAATGGTTGATATAATCACCCCAATTTTCAGGATTCCCAACGGAGAAAATTCGTTTGATTAGGGGGATGTCTCAAATCAAAGAAATAAAATGACCCAACTTAAATTACTTAACACAGTTTATCAGTAAGGCAACAGTTTTCTTTTTGAGCGAAGCTCTTTGGGATCAACTTCAATGCAACAAATAAAGAAACATCACTCAATAACGGCTGAACCCATTTTGGCCAAACTTAACAAAATTACTTAGACTAATAGTGAGATGGTTTTTAAACAAACAAATTTCAATTAGATAATGCTAATGCAATTTAAAACGAACTTAAAATTTCAAATTTTTAACATTAGGCTTATGGGACTAAAGTAGCCATGACAGGTTTTTTGTTTACAAGAAAAATGTAAACAAGAGAATCATAAGGTATTTCTGAACTTTCTAGACTTTTCTTTTAAACATTTTTAAACCATTCCTATGATCTTAATAAACAAGAAAATGCCGTTAAAACATTTTTTAAGGCATGGAATTCACTGAAAGTTGAGAAAATATACGGAACTACTTTCTCAATGCGCGGAGTATAAACAAGGAGCGGAGTGATACGGACCGGTGACTACTTTCTTGGGAACCTATTTGTGTTGCCAGCTGATTAGAAACAGCCAATGTTAGAAATCAGGATTTAATAAGCGATATATCGAACCGCATCAAAATCGATATTTAATCCGATAATACCTCACAGGTTATATTATGTTGAATTACATCGACGGTACAGTAAGTTATTACACTTATTAATAAAACGCAGATTGAACACTGATCTAATTTAGGCATGTGGGGAAGGTAGGTCGGGGTTTATGAGTATTCGTGACTACATTAAGTGTTTTGAAGTAAGGTTAGATTAGGAAGTTAAAGTGTAGGTTATAGGTAGGTGATCGGGTTGTTTATTTGTGTTGCACCATATAATTTTTATCTTTTGGAATAGTTGGTTAAACGGGGAAACGATTTCAAAAATGCTTGCATATGGTCTTAACAAACCATCTACAGTATTCTAGCATAGCATTGACTTTATATAAAGTGAACGATTCTAGCAGGTTACTACATAAAAACCAAAAGAAAAGAACATTTGGATTTGGACCTTTGACCATAGCAAAACTAACATATAATTTATGAAATGTGAAAAGTTGTATATCATTAAATACTATACTGTAATATTAATAATTGTTCGGCAAATCCTAATTTTAATGGCTCGGCTGAAGTGGAATCTGCATTTTGTGAAACAGTAATTTGGTAACAATTCAGTAATTTCAAATGTTGATAACAGTAGCCTATCCTATATAAATACTGTTATTTGATTTCCAAGCCACGGACTACACGTCCAGTTACAACCGTAATAATAAGTAAATAATTAATTACCTGGGCTTATAGAAGTACACTTTTAACCACGGTATGGATAATTGTCTAGGCCTGTCCAGAAGTAGGCTACTAATTTCTAATTATATTATCTACATTGTATATTTAAGGCATGTCTTCCCTTCTTATTATTATTCTGTTTTCACTTAAATCAGCTGAATGCGATATTTACTTATTACTTATGTTTAGGCCTACATTTCAGCCATCTTATTTTATTGTTCAACTAACTGTAACCCGCGGGCTTTGCCCGTTTAACTTCTTAATTTTCAAGATGATCTCGTTCGCATGGCTCAATCACGTCCTGGTTGAATTTCGTTCGCTACGCTCACTCACCTTTGGGTTGGAGCTCGTTCGCTACGCTCACTCACCTTTAGGTTGGAGCTCACTTGCCTTCAGGTTAGCTCGTTCACTACGCTCACTTGCCTTCAGGTTAGCTCTTTCGCTACGCTAACTCGCCTCCAGGTTGAAGTTCGTTCGCTACGCTCACTCACCTTTTGGTTGCTAATTAGCTGTATTGAAATCGCAATAATGTCATAAATGTAAATGAAATAATATTGCTGCACCCTGTTGGTAATCCTTGTAACTTTAATGCTATTGAACA